GCGGGCGGCGCCGGCGGCGCCGCGGCGAGGGGCGGCCGGCCCCGGTCGCGCTCCGGCGGCGCCGGGCCCCGCGGCGGCGCGCCGGTCGCCGGGGGCGGGCCCCGGAAGTCGAGCTCGTCGTCGCGGCCGGGGCTCAGCTCCGGCTCGGCGTCGGGCTCGGCGTCGGGCTCCGGGCTCCGCGGCTCCGGGGGCTCCGACGGCTCGGGCTCGAGGTCCTCGTCCTCGTCGTCCGTCGACAGCTCGAAGGTGTCGTCGTCGCGGCTCGCCGCGGCCGGCGGCTCGGGCGCCCGCGGCACCGGGTCGCGCGGCGCCGGGTCGCGCGGCGCCGGGTCGCGCGGATCCCGCGCGTCGAGCGCCGGCGGCCGCACGTCCCGGACGTCGAGCGCCGGCGGCCGCACGTCGCGGACGTCGAGCGCCGGCGGCCGCGCCGGCGCCGCGTCGACGCGCGGCTCCGGCGCCGGCGGGGGCGCGTCCGGCTCGTCGATCCAGCGGTGCGCCTCGGCGGCGGCGAAGACGGCCGCGCTCGGCGGCGTCCAGGGCGCGGGCGCGGGCGCGCGCGCGTCCGGCGACGCGAAGCGCGGGTCCCCGCTCCGCGCCGCGGCCCGCGGCTCGCGAGCGTCCGCCGCCCGGGGCTCCTCGGCGCGCCCGTTCTGCGCCGCCGCCCGGGGCTCCTCGGCGCGCCCGTTCTGCGCCGCCGCCCGGGGCTCCTCGGCGCGCCCGTTCTGCGCCGCCGCCCTCGGTTCCTCGGCGCGCCCGTTCTGCGCCGCCGCCCGGGGCTTCTCGAAGCGCCCGTTCTGCGGCGCCGCGTCGAAGCGCGGGTCCCCGCCCCGCGGCGCCGCGGCGAAGCGCGGGCCGCCGGCGCGGGGCTCGTCGCGGGCCCAGGGCGGCAGCTCCTCGTCCGCGCCGTCGCCGCCGTCGTCGCTGTCGTCGCTGATGAGCGCGCTCACGTCCGCCGCCGGCGCGGCGGCGTCGGCGCCGTCGCGGGCGTAGGCGCCGGCGTCGTAGGCGTAGTCGTCGGGCGGCGGGTCCTCGCCCGGCGCGTGCCACTGGCTCTCGTCCGTCGTCGCGTTGTACCAG